TTTACCGAGACACGCGAGGTGAGTCTTCTCACTATACTTTACCTTGAGTAGGTAACCAGAGTTATGTGATAGAGTATTTGTATGCTATGTATGTTATGTGTTGTACTGCATTACTTCTATGTGTTTGATGCTGTGCATGTTTACAGAGTTAGAACCGGAAGGTTCACAGAGTTAGAACCTGAGGGTTCACAGAGTTTGGGTGCACGGACCCACAGAGTTATAGTCTCGAGTGGCTAATATGTGTTATATGTAGTATTTTGGGGAACTCACTAAGCCTTGTGCTTACAGTGTTGATGTTATTGTTTCAGGTACTAGTGACGACCGCGGGAAGGCGCCGGCTTGATCCGTACACACACACATTCGGAGCTTGATATCATGATCTTGGGATTTTGTATTGTCTTGTTTGGATAATTAAAATGGTTGTTTAATGAATATCAATGGAATTATGTTTTATAAAAATTGAAAAATTTGTTTTGAAAATTTTCGGTGTTACACACTATTTTTTCATACAACACACACTAGACTTACCACAACACTTTTATTCATTTATTCAAAATTTCATCTATAACTTATCTTTCAATTGATACAAATTAACAAGGCAAGTGATTATTATCACCTCCCAATGCTTTATGCCGGAGATCCTAACAAGGATCAAGAGCTTTCTTTGTAAACTACTTGTGTCACCCACTCTTGACTTGCTCATTTGTTTCGATTACACATCACATCCTCTCATACAATTTGGTTGATATATAATTGATTAATTGTTGACCAAAACAATATATATATATATATATATATATATATATATATATATATATATATATATATATATATATATCCTTCTCAATGACCGTTTATCTTTATTTATCATTGTTTATAGGGAAATGAATTTATTCAGGTAATTAACTTTTCGTTTTGTTCACATCTGGGTAATTTTTTTTGCACACATCTAGGTAATAAACTTTTTGAAACTGTTCACATATGACCATTATGATGTGCAGTAGTAGGTTACATCCGGTCATAACCGGTCATAATGGTCATATATGAACACTTCTAAAAAGTTCATTACCTAGATTTGTACAAAAAAATAGTTACCCAGATGTGAACAAACCGAAAATGTAAAAGTAAATTACACGAATGGTCTCTGTGGTTTGGGTAATTCGTGTGTTTGATACCTTACTTATTTTTTAACTCGAATGATCCTTACTATTTATTTTTGTTGTGCGTTAGGTCTCTATCTTACCTCAAAAGACTATGGTGCCCTTTTTAATTGATTTTCTTATTTATGTATTTTTTATGTATATTTTAAAAACTGTATCTCCTCATCTTAAACCTGAAACCACATTTTAAAATTTTAAGTTGGGTCCCACCAGTCACTATCCCATCTCTCATCCTCATCAACTTCTATTTCTTTTGCATCTTTCATGATATTGATGTCTTCACCATCCCTTCTTTTTTCGGTCCTTCTTTTTTCGGTCCTTCAACTTCGACGAACCAACACCACAACCCTTCTATTGGGTTATGGTGATGGAAAACTAAATGGAGAGATAGTGGGTTGTGGTATTAGGTTTAAGGTGCAGAGTTACAAATATGTGGTTTTAGGTTTAAAGTAAGAAGATACAAATATGTGGGCCTATTAATTTTTTTAAATATATAAAAAATAAATACATAAATAAGAAAATTAATTAAAAATAAATTAAAAAGGGCGCAATAATCTTTTGAGGTAAGATAGAGACCAAACGCACAATAAAAATAAACAGTGGTGATCATCCGAGTTAAAAAAAAAGTTAAGTACCATATGTAAACCACAAGGACCATTTGTGTAATTTACTTTCACCTTTTCAGTTTGTTCACATCTGGGTAACTATCTTTTTTTTGCACACATCTAGGTAATGAATTTTTTGGAAGTGTTCACATATGACCGTTATGACCAGCTATAACCAGATGTAACCTGCTATAACAGGTCATAATGGTTATATGTGAACACTTTCAAAAAGTTCGTATCTAGATGTGTACAAAAAAAAGATAATTACCCAAATGTGAACAAACCAAAAAGTTAATTACATTCATAAGTCCATTTCCCTTGTTTATATTCATTTAAGATTTTTTAGATTCATTTGTTTATGTTCATTTATATTTGTTTCCATCCATTCATCTATGTTCTTTTATATTCGTTTTTTATGTTCCTTTAGTACCTTAATGAATATATATATATATATATATATATATATATATATATATATATATATATATATATATATATATATATAAACAAACATAAACAAAATAATTTCTTTAACGAATGAACGGTAACCATGAAATTAATTTTTTATGCGTTCATGTTCGTTATTTGTTCGATTAAATTTAAACAAACCACTATGAACAAGTCTCGCTCATGTTCGTTCAATTTGTTACAATCTAGATATACATTTGAAGTCAAGTTCACACTAAACCTAAATGTGAAGGAACATGTAATGATGTCATTTTTAATAAGAAAATTGTGTTATTACTTTAGACATTTCTCATATGAGGTCTTAGTTTTCTTTTAACCATGCAATGAAATTGAGAAAAAATGATATCATGGATGAACTTTTTGTGTCATTGAGAATTCATTGAAGATCTTAGATTACAGTTAATAATTGTTTTTAAGCATTTTAGGCAATTCAGAGTGGGATAGAAACGCATGCATGGAAGTTTACTAGACATCCCAATATTGAAGTTACATATATATGGTTTCTCAAAATGTTTATTTGTATCTCATTATACATCCTAATGAAATATGATTTTATTATTCTATGAAGTTAAAATATATATTTTTGTTATAAATTACTATGTTTTTTAATTAATTTAATGTTAAACTTAAAAAAAAAAATATTGTGGATTAGTAATCATTTTTAATGTCTAATGAGTCGGTGGTAAAACTGATATTGGCGCAGAGGTGGAACACTTTTCTGGTGGATTGGTGGTGACCACTCCCATAGCCTTATATAATTTTATTGATCAAATATGTATAAAAATGCTTAAATATAATTAAAAAAACATTATAATATATTTTTTAAAAGTATTTTATATAAATTTATTGGTCAAATATAAAAACAACAGCAAAATATCTATAGTTATAACAATTCTTTTACACTAACAAACGATCGCAATTTTTTTAAACTTCTTTAAATATTCTATTTTTTTAGAAAGCTATTATATATATCTTATTTATATAAGTTGTCAAATCATATCATATAAAGTATATAAAGTCAACAATTATATATAGATAACTGAAATAATTAGGGATTCACATAGAGTTAGCATTTTTTTTTTTTGGAAATTCTAGACGTATTTTCAAATTATTTTGTCTATCATCCTTGTGAGTGAAATAATATTTATATACCCTATATTTTAATAATTTATATGAGCCATACGATATGTATTGTAACATTCTTTTTAACTTGTTTTGAAGTAGCCGAATGATAACAAAATAATAGATTTTCTAATATTTGATAGCAATTAGAATGAGAAATGATAAATTAAAGGGATTTTTTTTCTACACACAAATCTACCACATACCTATCACACACTAACCTATTTTTTTGAAAGGTTAAATATTGAAAATTGTGTATTTTAGCCTCCCATTTACCAACGCCTATTTTTTGTTCTTTTTTATTTTTTTTCTTTTGTTCTTTTGTGATTTCTTTGAGTTTTTTTAAAATAGAGAGTTTTTTTTTTTTTTTGAAAAGTCAAATATTAATATTTCCATTTGCAATTTTTTTTTTTTTACTCTTCAAACTAAGTTACCGAATCTTTTTCTTTATGATTATCACTTGCACCTTATTTTGATTTGATTTTTCATTTTAAATTTGATTTTTACACACTTTAAAAAATAAAAGTATATAAGCACTTCCTAGATTTTGGTTTCCCAATCCTGTTTTTATTGGGTTGATTTTTATTTTTATTTTTAGTTTTAAAATTTTATTTTATTTTAATTCTGATTTTATTTATATATACCTAAAATAAAATATGTATAAAATGGCCTTATAGTTGAATTATTTTTAAAATTATTCAAAACAAAACTAACACAAGTTTAATTATCTTGTTCGTATACTAACAAAAGTTTAATTATTTTTAAAATTGTTCAAAACAAAACTAACACAAGTTTAATTATTTTGTTCGTATACGTGGTAACATTTAGAAAAATATATATGGAAATGAAATGAAATAATAAAATACTATCTATGTTTTTGATTGCTGAACTATGCAAATTGAGTATATATATACTACTTTTTAAATATGAAATGAAAATTAAAATTAAATATAAGTAGATTTTGTTTTAATTTTTTCTGGTCTTTTTATTAAATATTCTTTTGGAAATTTTTGAATAACATCATCATTATTTTGTTTAATTATCAATTATGGTTTAACGACAGTGTCGGCATAACGTCTGGTGGTTCGGTGAGTCGGTGGTTTGACGATGACGGCTTGGTGGTTTCGATGGTCCGGCAAAACAACGACGACATATATGATTGTAAAAGTATTTATGATTCTATGATTGTAAAAGTATTTTAGTATATTAACATGATTGTAAAAGTATTTATTATTCTACGACGACATATATATTATTTTTAGTTTTATTTATGATTCTATGATTGTAAAAGTATTTTAGTATATTAACATGAATGTTTGAAAATAAAATAAATTTTTTTTGAACTAAATACATACTGTACTACAACATTATTGAAGTGTAAAAAATAAAAAATAAATAAATAAATAAAAGAAACCTATTTGTTATATATATATAAAAGAAAAAATTACTTTTAGAAAACAATGTAAGTAATAATTTATTAATGGTAATGATTAGGTTAGTATATATTAGATTAATGTTTAATAGAGTGGTGTGTTTAAAGTACAACTTAAATTAAATTTTTACTAAAATAAACATCATTGTAAGTGTTGCAGATAGACTGAATACAAACCATTTTAACTTTATCTTCTCAACACTCAATCATCTCATGACTCTAATCTACAAAAATACACCACCTCGATTTGATCGTTCCCCTCTCTCTCTCTCCGGGTTGCCAGTAATGGCAGTGCATAAGTGGCAGTGCAAGAAAAGGGGGAGTGAGTTCTCATTGGGAAGGTAAAGCCCTTCGCTTTGCACCATTTTTTCTTTGAGACACCTCTCTACACTCTACTATACACCACCAGTATACGCTCTCTATAACCACTACAAACAAGATATACATCACACTAACATTAAATTAGCAGTATCTCGCGTGCATTCTCTGTAAATCTCTCTCTCTCTCTCTCTCTCTCTCTAGAAAAAGATAAGTAACACACCCGTTTTCCAATGACCTAAAGCATTCCCTTTTCCCTTTGGCTTTCATCATCGTCATGGTTAATACTTGGACTTATACTAGTACATAGGTTTTTCAGTAAAAGGGCTGAAAAACACCCCTTTTGTAAGCTTAAAACTCGGGAGAAAATCTCTCTCTCTCTCACACACACACACGCAGACAAAAAGACATCAAAGAACTCACTTCTCAATTATGCTCGTATCTTTGCACATGAACATAAGTTGAAACCCTTAAAAAGAGAGAAATGGATGGTGGTGGTGTAGGTACATCTTGTCTGATGGGGTTTGGAGATAACAGCAACATCAATCGAAGCAGTAGTGGTGATAATAATAACAGCATTGGATCGCTGTGTCTTCCTCCAACTCCTGTTATATACAACAATAACGTAATTTTTTCCACTCAGGATCATAATCATCATCATAGCAACTGCGGTGCTTCAGCTTCTGCTATGATGCTTGAAGACAACAACGATGGTAACATTAACGATGGAGGAGGCTTAGCCTTCATCTCGTCGTCATCATGTTCTTCATCTGTTAAGGCGAAGATCATGTCACATCCTCATTACCCTCGTCTGTTATCAGCTTATCTGAACTGTCAAAAGGTATATATATTTTTCTTGAAAACCCTAATTCCTCTCTTTTTGCTTCCAACATCCTTTGTGTGTGATTAGTTGATTGTTCAGTTGGTATACTCTTCGAAGAAACCCAGAAGACATTTTCTTACAAGATTGCATTTTTTATACTCCGTGGAAGATGAACTTGAAAAAAATTTGCGACTAGAAGCAAGCCAAGAAAGTTTCTCTAGTTTCATATATATTTTGTCTTATTCATTTGTGCGATTATTTCTTCTTTTGGTAGGTTATTAGAGACCCTCCAGAAGAGAGAACATTTGTAAGAAGAAACCCAGATGTGGTTTCTTAATAAGATTTGTTTATATGCGTGTGACATCAGTTGTTTTTAGTCATTTCTTCATATGGTATGAAAGTATAATTTCTTAAAAGTAGAAAACCCTATACATTCCTACCAAAAATTTAAGTTTTTCTTTTTGTATATCAACATTTCTATATATACGTATGCCATGTGTTACCAAAGATTATGATGACAAGTTTATTCTTTACTAATATCAAACAGATAGGAGCACCACCTGAAGTAGTTGAAAGATTAGAAGAAGCCTGCCGAGCGTCCGTGATGGCTGCGATGTCTGCTAGTTCCGGCGGCTCTGGTGGCGGTTGTGCCGGCACTGGTGGTGGAGGTACGAGTACGACCTCTGTCGGACAAGATCCGGCTCTCGATCAGTTCATGGAAGCTTACTGTGAGATGCTAATTAAATATGAACAAGAACTCTCAAAACCCTTCAAGGAAGCCATGCTTTTTCTCTCAAGGATCGAGACCCAGTTCAAGGCCATCTCTTTTTCTCCTTCAGATTCCGGTGTACCCTCCATCTCTTTCTTCATATCTATATATATTTGTGTCGTGTCTGTGTGTGTCGTGTGTGTGAATTATTTATTATTTTTAAATAAACTGATGAGCTTTTTAATACTTCTGTAGTTCTGTGTTACATGGATCAGTAACACAAGCTCCCATGTCTTGGTTATTGTTCATGAACAACTATAGGCAATAATCTCCCTTGAAATTTGCAATGATTAGAAAGCGGCAAGACCTAAACAAACTCGTTCACGAACTCCATTCTGTTAAAAACCGTTCAGATTAATCCAAAAACTTACCTCTAAAAAACATCGTGAATAGTGATAACATTTTGTAATTCTTTTTGTTATGTTTTATTTGATTAAACATCTGCGACTTGTGACTATACTCTTTCTTTCCACTCTTCAAGTGATTTATTTCTGAAAAATTAAAGTTTTCTTATATTTTGCTCCAAGTTTTGTAGGTTCGCTTCAATTTCTTATTTTGTACTAGTTTCTTGATGTTATGGTTTGCATTGTGATTTGTACATAGTTCGCTTGTCTTACCAATAATTAACTTTTTGTGGTACAGTTAGGGTTTTGAAATACTTTTAAAATTCCAATAATTTCTTTTGACTATATATATCCTCCAGTAATATGATACGAGCTGAAATTTGCAAATTTCTCTGACCACAGTTGCAAATTATCCATCCTTGTTGCTTTTGGTCTGAAGATTCTTCTATTTTTAGACTTATAGTTAAAACTACTAATTTTTTTGAGGGTAAAATAGTTTACAAATATTTAGGGTTTGATGCTAATCTTTGATTTCACACTGCAGTATTAGCCAGGCTTAAGTAGGTTGATGCGCTTGTTGATTGAATCATAAAACTGCTTCTTCTTCATTACTTTGTAACTTATATCGTGCACATTATAGACATTCACATTGTTAACCCAGCTTCTTGTTTAATATTTAATCAGGTTGTGGTGAGGGAGGCATGGATAGGAATGGATCATCTGAAGAAGATCTGGATGTGGATGTAAGTAACAATATGGTTGATCCTCAAGCTGAAGAGCGGGAGCTGAAAGGTCAGTTATTGCGCAAGTACAGTGGGTACTTAGGAAGTTTGAAGCAGGAGTTCATGAAGAAGAGAAAGAAAGGGAAGTTGCCCAAAGAAGCTCGTCAACAGTTGCTTGACTGGTGGACCAGACATTACAAATGGCCCTACCCTTCGGTACATTTTCATGCGTTTTTCATCATTAATATTGTGTCAAAACCCATCCATCATTAGTGTGACTTCTTTTATTTCGATTGCATTACTAGATATCTCTTGAGAATCTATTAGGTATACGATCAATACTCACAAGCACAAATTTTAGGTTTTCAAAAGAGCTCTCGGTGACTTCCATATATATAAATATAAAGACTGTATCGGATACACTAACATAGTAATTTACAATCACATAAGATCTATATATGGAGATTTTGGGTCCCTCAGGGAAACATCATTCTCCAAATTCAACATTTATTATTGCACACAATACTCGGAATGTTCCTTATGTAGCTACCAGATTCCTACATATAGAATATTTTATTGCTTTTGATGATAATCTTTGGAGGACTATATATGCTGCTTGTTAATGCCATTTTCCTTCGTATTTCATTTGTGTGTCTCATCGTTTTTCTTTCATTTGAGGAAAAATAGGACTCAATGTAGGACTTCTCAAACACACATGCATGTCCCTTGCTACCTGCCTTGGCATATATATCATGTATTATAGGCATCATGTTGTTGCTTTTAGGATTGATAGTCGCATATGCAAGTTTATATATAGTTGAAAAAGAGAAAATCACCTACTCTATGTGTCCCTATAGAAGTCGAGAAAAGAGGGATGAATTCTGGAAAATGGATGCGCCTAGCTAACTGTACTTAATCTCATTTATAGTGAAGTCTTGGGATGGTTTACAATCCAGATTATGAATTTATGACAAATTCTAATTAATATGTACAGGAAGCTCAGAAGTTGGCTTTAGCTGAATCAACAGGGCTAGATCAAAAGCAGATAAACAACTGGTTCATAAACCAACGGAAGCGTCACTGGAAACCATCTGAGGATATGCAGTTTGTGGTAATGGATGCTGCTCATCCTCACTATTATATTGACAATATCTTTGGGAATCCTTACCCCATGGACGTGTCACTTCTCTAGATGCATATAATGATGGATATCATAAAAACTACTATGAAGGAATGGGAGTGTATATGATCTCATCTGAACGGTTTTGCATGTTGCTGTTACCTATTATGCTTGTTATTTATGATTCTACGTTTATGTAATATAAAGACAGAATCAGTAGTAAGCTATATATATATATGTGATATGTTTAATTTATCTAGGTTTCTTATTTTCATAAATTAGAAATGCTTTTTCCGTAGGGAATATGTTAGGTTTGGACAAATGCATATGATATCACATGGGAAATTGTTTGATGTGGCATAGTGGCAGGAGTGGTAGGTATCTATCCTCTCCATCAAGTGCCATCAACTCATCAAACAATAAATTAAACTGTATTGGGTTTAGCTTGTACTTGGCAGATGCATAACCATAGCCAATAGTATGTTGTTCTTTTGGCTTGTGAGTTCTTTGTTTTCTAGTATAAAATGAATCTATGCACTAACAACAAACAGTTTATTCCTTCCCAAAAAGCTGCATTTGAGGAATGCCTAAAATGCATGTGATAGTTTGATCTCTGTTACTTATAAGATTCGACATAATTATGCCATATATAAAAGGTTGAAATTACCCATGGGTTAATGATTATAATTAAAATGTGGTTATGAAACATCCTAGATGTTGGTTATTTTTATAATCAAAACATAAAATGCGGAATCACAACTTCAGATATTGATTCTCAAATTTGTCAAAAGAAAACTTTAAGCTTGAAAAAATGATTACATATTTGATTTCATTATGATCTTCGGAATTTGAAGAACTAGATTGGTCTTTTCAATTGATAGCAAGAACTCTTTAAACCCGCAACAAACCCTAAAACAAAATATTTGTAAGTATTTTCGTATGTTGTAAATTTGTTATTCATTACGTATTTATATAGATGAAGATATAACCAAATGTGAGATATTAGGGATTTAAGAGATTTTGGGTAAATCGGAAACTCGACAATCAAGATAAACATAATAAGTGTATATATTTATTTATTAATAAAATTGGTTTATCAACAATTTTGTATAATTTTCATAATAATACAAAATTAATGATAACATTATTTATATACATTTATTAGTGGTTCCAAACTATACAACAATCTTCCACTAAACCATGAATATATATACACACACACACACACACACACACAAGCATTTTAATGAATGTTATCATAATATTGATATCCTTAAACAATCTCGTATACAAGTATAGGCTTAAAGACGTCTTCATTACAATTTATGTTACTAAACCCATTAATGATCATATATACATATATAACTAACGACATAGATTATACATGATGTGTGGTTTTAAAATCAAAATATATTTCCAACGAGTTCCTTTTTACCTTGAAGTGAAATCAAATTTCAAACAAGTGCAACTGATAATGGAATTAACCGAATTTTTAATTTTGTACAGAAAAACATAACTGCTCTTAAACAAAACATAAAATACGAATAAAACTCACACTAATATAAATTATCATACCAATATGTGTAGTATGCTCATGAAAGACCTTGAAAGGTAATACCCTTGTGAGCGGATCCGCTATATGGAGTTTGCATATATGTGCTTTATAAATATTTTTCCATTTGCACTATTTTGTTAACAACCAGGAAATTAATGTCAATATGCTTTGAGTTAGTAAAACTTATGATGTTGTTGGAATATAATATTGCTAACTTCTTTTCACAACTTTAGTGGTATTTCAATACTAATATGATGCAGCCTCGTGACAAAATTATGCAACCATATTCCATGATTTGATGCCTCATGACATGCTACAAATTATGTTGCCATTATGGAAGAAGCTATTAGAGTCTATTCCAAATGACGCCTAATACAAGCAAGTAAATGTATCACGATGTGGATTAGTAACCATGTGACATTCAGTAGAATCAAGTTATAAATAAAAATGATGTCTAAAACATCTGATTTCCTATAGTGGAGTATATAGCCTTTTGTTCTTTATGAACATCTCAAACCAATTTGGATGTTTCTCAATGATCCACAATTGGGTTGATTAGATATTTTTCCAACATCCCTATAATATAGGGATATATACATACTGAGCATACATCAGATTCCCAACAAATAAAACGTAAGGAATCTTCTACACCACTCTAACTTTAAGGTTAATTGTAAGGCACTGATTGAGACTAAATTTGTCTCCTTTAGCAACAAGGGTGTCACATGGTTTGTAGTTTGCATGCAAAATCTTGCAATGATCTTATTGATGTAGCTCTTTTGTAACAATCCTAAAATTACACAAGATTTCTCTTGTTGAATCTGGATTCCTAATACAAAATACTTTTAAAATGAAGGATATTGTGGAAGCCTATTTTGTGTTAGTCTATTGATGGCAAGCAATATGTCATCAACATACAAATAATAAAGATATATTTACTTCCACTGGATTTTTGAAACACACAATTATTTACTGTTTTTGCCACAAAATCAAACGATATAATGCATTTATGAATAGGAGATTGAATAACACTGTTGGTCATTGATTCATAATTTTCGTTCTATCGAAAACAATAATAGGAATCTAGATTGATTTCTTTTTAAGGACAATGTTTTTAACCTTGTTTCTCCATAAACTCAACATCCTCAAAGAATGTTGGTCTTATCCAAAAGGAAATGTCAATATCCTTGCAACTGAGAACTAACATATTATTTTCCTTTCTTTCCTTAAAGTTAATCTCATTAAGCACATGAATCATAAATGTGATCAACGTAGATATAATGGCATAATTCAAATTTGTTGTTTTGAGAACATAACTAGTCTTAGTTTTATGCTCATTAATCCATAAACCATAATCAATAATGTCAATTTATGATATATTTACAAGGTATCAATACAACACTAATATCAAGTCTTTGGACAATAATATTAACTTGCAAGAGATATCTTTGTTTAGTGATAAACATTGAAAATAAATCATGCCAATTAATAATCTCCTCTTTGGATTGACTTATTAATCACATGAAACCAAATAATTATCTCGTGTTTACCACCATATATGTGTTTATCCGACCAAATATTAACCAATCTTTGGGTCGACTAATACTTGCATTAATAAACACATAAAATTAAAAAATTGTTGAATGTTTACTATCATATATTTGTTTATCTAACTAAATATTAACCAACCTTTAGGTAGATTAATATCCGCATTAATCAACACATAAATTCCTTGTAAATCAATTTCCACAAAATAGATCACTTTGGTGACATATTGTATTAATTGATATACTTTAAAAATAAATAGCAAGTTGTTATTAGTTTATTAACAACCTGAAATATTTATCAAACGGTGTCCATCGGGTTGAACACAACTCACGTAAACAATATCATATACCCAAATTGATTGAAATAGTGTAGGTTAATTTGGTAACAATATTATATCAATCACTAACAAAAAAAACATGATATATCTATAAACCAAAAGATTCGAGTATTCAATCAAAATGTTTTATAAAGAAAAAGTTGTCAAACAATTTCATCCGATAATTAAAGAATAACAATAGTCAACATCCTCTCTAATAAATGAATGTTTATTTTGCCACAGGGACGGACGCGAGAATTAGTAGTAAGGCTTGCATAATTTTTTTTTCGGTTAAACATAATATAAAACATTAAAAAAAATTCCGGTCAAACATAATATAAAACATCTAATAGAATTTTTTTTTTCTGGTTAAACATAATATAACAACGATGTATTAGAATTTAAATTTGTGCTCTTCGTGCAGACATCTTTTGAAACCGCTCCATTACTTTTTCATTTCAACTTTCGCAAGTGCTTCGGTCTCGACATTACAAAGCAATGCGTCGTTTAAAAAATCATTGCTAATTTTGTTACGCAAGTCGGTCTTCAAGAGCTTCATCTTTGAAAAACATCTTTCTACACTTGCGGTCGCTACGGGTAATATCAAAGCCAATTTTAAAAGCTTATAAACCAAATGATAAGACCGATGCTTCCCCGTACTAACCATCAAACGAGAAAGGTCGGAAATTTCTTTCAAACTAGTGAAGCGCTCATCTTTAATGCAATAGCGATAAAATATCTCAAGTTGTCCATCAATGTCTATCATATCTTAATCATCAAAGTCATACTTGTATAACTTACCCAACTTCAATAACTTTGATTTGTCAAATTGTGCAAATGAATCACAAGAGCTCAAAGCACCCATGTATTCTAGTAATTGGGTGCTTGTTTCACTAAATCGATCCCGATATTCTGTAAGTTGCATATCTACCACCGTGTTGAAGATTTCAACCTCAAAATGAAACCTATTAATCATTGTAGTCCTACGGTTTCTCGCACCAATATACAACTCTTCCATATCTAAAGTATCAATTTCGTGTGTTTGACAAAAAGAGGATACTTTTGGCCAAATGCTAGCAAACCCTATGTTTCTAAAAGATTGCAATGCATGCATTGTCCCTCTAACCATCGAAGCCGCTTCTAAAATGTCTAGATCTTTTCTTTGAAGTTGCTTTGACAATGTACCTGTGAGGTGTAAAATGTTATACATCATATGTAAGTAAAACACGAACTTATATGATTTAAAATATGCTAAGATTTCAGATGCTTGTTGACGGTTTGCCAATGACCCTCCCTCCCCTTTCACAAAATCTAAAACTACAAGAACATTCGCAAACAACTTTATCAAACTTGTGAGTGTATTGAAATGTGAACCCTATCTTGTTTCTCCCGCTCTAACAACTGTAGTCTCTTGATTTAACCCTCTTCCATTTTCAAGTTCACCACTACACAAACCTTTTTGCACCCTTTCTCTTGCTTGCTCTCGTAGTAAGTCTTATATTTTACACGATGCACAAACAACATTAACCACCAAAGAAATTTGCTAAAAAAGTCACTAACACCATCATGTTTATTTGCTACAACCACAACTACTAACTGAAGTTGGTATGCAAAGCAATGAACATAAAAATCCGTATCATTCTCTTGTAATATCAAAGCTTTCAAACCATTGAATCCCCCTCGCATATTGCTAGCCCCATCATAATCTTGTCCTCTTATCTTTTAAATTTTTAATATATATATATATATATATATATATTAAATTGAAATAACAAAAAAAGTAAAGAGTAAATTACCTGACTAAAACTCAACTTATTACTTGTAAGTACTTCATTTATGGTTTTTTTGAGTGTCAAAGAAGATGTATCCTTCACGTTCACTAGTCCGATGAATATTTCTTTCACAAAGCCAAGACTATCGACATAACACAAAACAACAACCATTTGTTCCTTTTTTGAAACATCACCAGATTCATCAACTAGTAAAGCAAAAACATCTTGACCAATCTCTTCACAGATACTCAAAAGTACTTCTTGTGCAAAACATTGCTCAAGTTCTTTTTGAATTTTAAAGGAAATTAGTTGACTGTTTTAGGAGCATTTTCTAAAGTATTATTGAAAATATCTTCACTAGTCTCTCAAATGGCTTTTAACACTTTAATGTAAACCCCTCTATTTTCCGAGTTAACCGACTCGTCATGACCATGAAACGGTAAACCAGTTTTCAATAAAAGTCTAACAACAATAATAGAAACACGCAATCGAGCTTTATATTTATGGTTCTCTGCTTCGGTTTGCCTCCTCAAGACTACATTAACATGACCCACATTAAAAACTCACACTTTTCTCTTGCTTTGTTGTAAAAACTATCAACACCACCCACATGAGTCCGAAATGCATCTTTTTTATTCCAAGTATCAAAACCTTGGGAAACAAATGCATCTCTCCCTCCTTTTTGTCCCATGAGATCCCCATACAAATAACAATATAAACAATATGCACTATTCTTTTTCACACTATATTCCAACCAATCAAAGTCATCAAACCATAAATGAACGAATCTTCTAAATCTATCACCTATTTTTTTTAGGAAACTTATGTGCCCTTACTTGACACGGTCATTGAAGCAAATATGTTCATCTTACATCATCTCTTATATATGATTTGCAACTTGTAATCAATGGCCTATCCACCAGGTCCTTTGGAAGATCTTTCAAGTCAACATTGTCATTAGGTTGGTTAGAACATGGTGTTTGTAGAGTTGCATTAGAAACTGAAGGGATTGATTGATTGGTAATTGGTGTTTGTGGAGTTGCATTAGGATTAGAAACGGAAGCGATTGATTGATTGGTGATTGTTATTTGGGAACATTTTTCACCACTTTCATTAGGATTATGTCTTTGTCTTTTGGTAAAAAAAACCACTTAGTTTAACCTATAAAAACATAACAATTACACCTAATCAAACAATGACTTCAATAAAACAAGTTGCTTTCCCCTAACACTACTAAAAAAATGCAAAAACCACGTCTGATACAGGAGGGAACATATGACCCGGCTTGAAGCAAAAAACCAGGCTCTATAGTATACTTAAATAACTTAGTTCCTATTCAAACAACCGAGCCTTTTAGCTGTAGGGATTTGTGACTCAGTTTTTAGAACACAACCGGGTTCTATATGAATATAAAGCACAAATTATGTAACTATCATATGACCCGTTTTTAAAAAATAACCGAGCCTTATTCTCTCTTCCCTGGAAACGCCCAACAGGGGCAAAGTGGTCAGTAAACCTAAAAAACCCCTCCAACATCTAGAAAGAAATTAAAAAGGAGCACAAATAGAACCAGATAAGATATCCTTATCACCTTGAAAATTCATGCACTATGAAAAAAATAAAAATAAATAAACATATAAGATATACATTATTCAAATACTTAACTGATCATGAATAAAAGTTTAAATTTAAAGCTAAAAAGATATTGATAAAAACATGGATTGAAAGATAATTACCACATACTCCAATAATTATCAACTTAATTGTTATTTTCTCTTCCATTCATGAACACAAAAAAACACAGACCATATGAAAAAAGTATTATTTATTCATCAATTAGAATACACAGAAAATTAAGTGAAATTATATATGAAGAGAATCGATAAATCTTGTATGAAGAGATGAAAATCGTATGATATAGCACACATATTCTTCTTCATTAAGTCTGAGTATGTATCTCCACTCTTATTGTAGATTTGTAGTATATGTTGTTAATTTAATCATATTTTTAATTCAAATTTTCTTGTTTTTTTAACCGCTGAGGTCTGTGCTCAGCCTCAGATTTTCACATTCAAGTTGTTTAATGTTTAATTTTTTAAAACTTACATAAAAGTTGAACAGAGTGAGCAGTTGTGAACAACATAGACCATTGCAAAGAACAAGCAATGTTATCTATAGTGTCACTGTAGCCTTCCAAATATCCCTTGAAATTATAGATTTCATTAATTCTTTCCCTTTCATCTTTGGCACTCACACTCAACAACAGATTCAAAGGTAACTTCCAAATGAAAGCATAAAATTTCTTTTTATTTAAGTAGAATTAAAAATCCAAGACATTGTTGAGATAATGGATATCACAGGAATATTTAAAACTTATTGAATCATTATATTTTTATGTAATTACGAATGGATCCTTTTAACTCGATGCATCGAATTAATCGTTCAGACGATGAATACTTGCAGGCTCACCGTTGTCTTGATGTTATGCAGATTGAAAAAAATGTTTGTGAAAGGTTGATAGCCTTAATGTTGAACACCAAGGGAAAGTCAAAAGACGAGGTTAGTGTTCGAGAACATGATGTTGATGACACAACTTACGTACGGTCAGATCACGATGACAGATTATGAATATTACAACCCAATGATAAGCTTGAACAATTTGGCCAGGTCTATCAAATGTGGAGGCAGGGTAGCTTCAAGGCTTAACAATAACATAGGAAATTTATTTTGAATCTTTTATTTGCATACCTATTTAGAATACGAATCATAGTAAAATAATTAGCTTCCATTTCGTAATGATTGTCTTTGTTCTGATGTTAAAGGGCCACAAATTCTCGACAACCAAGGTGTATTTGTTATTCTTCCCATTAATGGTGCCTAGTCAACAATCTAACAACTAAATTAAGGGAATTGAAAAGAATAACAACATAATTTACTTTGAGTTTTTATACCATTACAATTTTATCGACAATATGATTGTACTTTCAAAGTACAATCGTTTAATAAGAACAAAAACTAAGAATAAGAAAAGAAAGATTGAAAGTACGATGCTATATTAGACAACATAATGAAAGAATATTGTTATTTCTTGCAATTGGCCCCTATTGGGCTAAATTCAAGAAAAGCAATTTACTTTCATTTTGTTGTAGAGCATCTTACATTTATTTTGTAAAATAAACATTAAACTTGACAAATAGTTGAAATAAATGAAAGTACATTGTTATTATAACATGTTTCTATGCTTTTTTCTATATTAATCCATGGTGCTTTTGATTGGTTTTAGGAAAATCATCCATGATGTTCGTCAAAATTGAAATTTAACCCATTACTACAAAAGAAAAAGGAAATAAATATGCATTAACAAAACAATTTTAAAAAATGGAAAAAGGGGTACAAAAACGAAAGAAAAACAAACATAAAAAAAAGTTATACAAAACTGAAGATGTGGAAACAAATTGCAAAAAATAGTTTCAATTTGAACAATGACAGGAAAATAACTTACAGAGCGAGAAAATGAAGTAAGAGAGTGAGACATGGGCCGAATTTGAACAACTAATAAAATCCACAACTCAATGAGTCAATTTAATTATTTTTATCACTAATTCTAGTTGATTACATTTAATATAATTATGTGGTACAAGTTGGGAAAAAAGTAATAAAATTCACTAGTTTATTGTTTCGGGCAAAACAAAGTATGAAAATAGATACATAATTGAGTAAGAGTTGATGACTGATCATAGTCTTCTATAATGTCCAACTGTTTCAAAAAAGCTACAAAATATTCCCCTGTATGTGTTATGTATCTGCTGTACAGAGCAAACAGTAAAACTAGATAAATAGAACTTGTGTAAAAGTTACAGAATGGTCCTTATGTTACAACAATTACAGAAATGGTCCCTATAAGTTTTTTCTATAGAAATAGCCCTTGTAATTTTTTTTACAGAAATGGTCCCTGTAAGGTTTTTTTACATAAATGATCCCTGTAAGAAACAATTACAAATCCCTGAATTTACAAAAGAAGGCACTATGAAGAAAAAATTACTTAAAAGGTACCTCTAATGTATAGAAATGCAGAATTTAGCATATTTTTTTTGTTTTAATATGTTAGGTTTATGTTTTTAGAATTTCTTGATATCATATGACTTTGAACTTTGCTGTCAAATTATGTTTTACATCGAATTTTCTAACATATTGACACATGCAATACACTACATGCTATATGATTGCAAACTATTACTTATTGTGATTTGGTGTTATCTTATGGTGATATGAACCAAAAGTGTTTAGAAATGCAGAACTGGTCACTATGTTATACAAATGTACAATAATAGTCCATGTGTGATAGAAAATATATTAAAATAGTTCCAAGCTTTTGTATTTAGCATATTTTTCTATTTTACTGTGTTAGGTTTATGTTTATTGAATTTCTTGATATCATTTTACTCTGAACTTTGTTGTTAAATTATGTATTGTATCAAAATTTCTAACATGTTGACACATGAAATACACTACATGTTATATGATTGCAGACTATTACTCATTGTGATTTGGTGTTACCTTATGGTGATATGAACAAAAAATGTTCTAGAGGGATGGTCTTTCCTTATAATGATGGGTTAATTCACTCACTTCCTCTCCACGAAAATCACTTGAAGATTATGATAACAACATTAGTGAAAGATATAAAGGTATTCATGTTCCTATGATGACAAATGAAGTTGGTATCCTAGAAGATACAGTTGCCACTGTAATTCAATGGTCGCGGATCACAATTGTTCTTAGTAAGGTACATCTTCATTATCCTTTAATTTTTTATCTACCATATATACATTTTCTGAAAATGAGAGAATTCCCTATATGCTCCTATTAAACATCAAAATTTTATATTTAGACCGACAAATAAAATATTTTGATGTTTAAAAATGGAATATACGACGTTCTCGCTAATTAAAATGAGTTACTAATAGGAACAACAAAGCAAGGCGCCATCACAATAACAAATTTAGACCACAAGTGCGCGACCATCAACCGTAAAGGTTGTTATGGAAAAAAACATGCCTAACCAAAAGATAAACAAACCAAGGCCCATAGAATCACTTCGTGACCTTTTGAAGACCAACCTAGTGGTTCATGTGGTAGCCGATGCTGAACATCTCGAAGCTGGGGCGTTTGATTTAGCAGTCACATATGAAGAATATTATCGTTTGTTGAAAAAACAAACAGATGATTTGTCCATCATAACAACTTGGCAGATGTAAGAGCATTCAGATTTTACTATTACTTTTTTTTTTCCATGATATTTTCTTTTTAGGCTGCTTATAAGATATTACTTGATTGTAAATTTTTTGTAATATTGTTTGTATCCTTCTACACTTAATGCTTCGGAAACGTATGGGAAAATGTGCTTTCCTAAACCCATATAAGATTCTTGGGAATACTTGTCAGGAAACTCCGATTGATGTCGTTAATTATCTCGTTGATGCGATGCGGCTTCATCATGGAAAATCGTTTCTTATCGCACCATACCTGCAAAAGTATCATAAGTTGCTATCTATATTAATAGTTATTTATTTTATTTTTTTTCATACTATAATTTCAAACCATTACTAGTGCGCATTGGGTCCTCTTGGTGATTTGCCCTTCAAATCATATTGTATACATTTTGGATTCTCTGATGAAGCCTATGAAAAATCATGTTGACAATTACTATCTGCTCAAACTTTTGGAAAAGTAAGAAATTTCTTAATATGATATAAAAATAACATTCTTTCTATAAGTTTGCATACAACTTTACTGCTTGTCTATTTTTAGGGCTTTTGAGAGGTATGAAAAGAACACATCAATTCCAATTGTATGGAAGCTCACTGAGGTAATTTATCTTATTACTTATCCACGAGTTAGATGTAGTTTCGTTTGTGATTTATGTTTACCTTCTATCACAATTTTAGTGCAACCAAGCCGATGTATTGGAATGTGAGCTGAGTGGGCATTATATAATGAATTGGATCTTTGATTTTGTGTTGAACAAACAACATGGATTTCCGAGTAGAGTAAGGACTTCTTAAAAAAATCTCTTCTTCTAAAGCAAGAAACAAATTGTTTCGTTATTTAGTAGTTTTAATTTTATTTTCATATAGTTTGGTACCCTTTGGAATGACAAAACTGCATTTGAGGAAAAGGCGTTGGTTACAACTGTTGCTACATGGGCAAGAGAATTTCTGAATTTTTTTATGAATGATGTTGTTGTCTAAAAGTGCATATAAGGTTAGTTGTAAATCTTTATAACATCCTACTTTTAGTTTAATGATTGTTTGCTAAAGTCAACTCTTTTAAAATGCTAGACAAAAAACTAATTATTTGTTGTGTTTTGTTTTTCAGTGAGGATGAAGGATAGTTGTTGTGTTTTGTTTTTAAGTGAGGTTGAAGGATAGCTGCAACACTTGATTATTGGATAATACCTCTCCATTGTAAAACAATTTCTTTTTTGAATTTATTTATGTAAGTTTTATGTAGTATGAAATAACCAAATCAATGAGTTTTTAGGAGCACTTAAGCATGTTTTTTTGTTGATGACTAAAATGATTGGTTATTTAGCATGTTTATATTAATATAATTTGTTCATCAATGAACAAATTTTGTTTTGTTTTGAATGTGTGCTTTGAAATCAAGTATCAGTTTGTGCTTTTTATCAATTGTTTTCATTATATTATGGTTATTTGAATAAAGTTGTCACCAATTTATTTTTTATAACCATGCTTTTTGGTACCACGATTATAGTTGGTTTTTATAAGGCTGAAAAAGACCCGGTTATTTGAATGGAACCGGTCCATATTTAATCCTTATATGACCCGGTTTGGGAATTGGAACTGGGCTATTTTAGCCATATATGACCCGGTTTTGTATGTCCCGGTTTTATGAACGATCGGGTTCTTTTGTATCAGATAGGAGCCAGTTTTAAAATCGGGTTCTATTTCTTTTTTCACATAGGTCTCGCTGGCTTTAGGGCCCGGTTCAAAACCGAGTCTTTTAATTGATTTAACCGGGTCCTATAACCTTTTTTTGTAGTAGTGATCAAACAATAAATTCAATAAAAATATAACAATTACACCTAATCAAATAATGACTTCAATAAAACAAGTTGTTTTCACCTAATCAAACAATAAATTCAATAAAAACAAAGCAATTACACATAATCAAACAATGACTTCAATAAAAACAAGTTGTTTTCACCTAATCAAACAACAAATTCAATAAAACATATCAATTTCACCTAATCAAACAATCAATTCAATAAAAAACATAGCAATATAATCTAAGCAAACAATATAACTTCAATAAAACAAATCAATTTTACTCAAGTCAATCAATAACTTCAAAAGAACATATAATTTTCAAATATCTAAATGAATTGGGAAAACTTACTTGCTTCATTGTAGTGTAGGGCTTTGAAGTGGATTTTGTTAACCAAAACAATAGAAACTGAAAGAAGACAGAAGTTGATCGATACTTGCTTCCAGAGATTGAGTGATTGACTATTGTTGAAATCGATCAAGGATTATGATCGATCCAACAATGAAATCGATCAAGGATTGTGAGGTCACGAGTCACAGACTGTCGACAGTAGGCAAGGCCAAGGAACGAAATCACGAATAACGATCGAACGAATTTTGGATGCAGGAAGTCGAGTAGTCGATCTGTCGAAGTGTAATCGTGTTTTTTTCCTTGTACTGATAATACACAATTGCACACACAATTAATTAGGATTGGGCTATCTTTTTTACAAGCAATTAGCCCAATTGCTAATTTACCCAATTAAGTTTTATTTTGGGCTTTAGGCAATTGGACTATTAGACAATAAATTATTAAAACTTTGGGCTCGTTATTAATTATTTTTTTCGTTTGGTAATTATGATAGTGTGACAATATGATTTTTATGTAGTTGCACAAACTTTAAAAAAACGAATTTTTTTCTACTACACGCGCGAAAGCTAGGTGTTGTCGGTGCCACGCCGAGCACGTAGCTAGGACCGCCCCTGTTTTGCCACTTGTCACATTTTCATTCAATTTGTCAATTTCAAATGTCATTTTGTGGTTATTTTGAATTTTTTTTTCCAAATGTTATTTTATAAGTTTTTCTATTTTATTAAATTTCACATAATATTTTAATATAATAATTGCAATAAATGTAGTAATGAATGGATATCAATTTCATTAACAAATTTACCTTTTAGTTTTAAAATTCCAAAAATTAAAATTCATTTGTTTCTTTAATTTATTTAAATTTTGAGATAATTTCTTTTCATTATAACAATTCATTATTTTTTTATTTTTTTTATAAATTCAAATTTATTAAATATTTTGATATTTATATTTAGTTTTTTTTTCTTTTTAAATTAACTGATCATTACATGGATCTCACAACTATATATATATATATATATATATATATATATATATATATATATATATATATATATATATATATATATATATATATATATATAGAGAGAGAGAGAGAGAGAGAGAGAGAGAATTTTCAAAGAATTAATTTATATGTGATCTAGAATAAAAAGAAGGTGTGATATCCAAAACACCTATTATACTATTTGATTATCCAGAATTAATTTTCTACAACACAAATTTTGAATCTTTTGTTTCAAATTGAAGCCATTTATGATATCACATATTCACGTGAGTGGCTGTATGGTGCAGAAAAAAAAATGCTAAATCCAAACATTCACGTCACATACGGAAAAAAAAAAAAAATCACTGCCGCTTAAAAGACATTTGAAAAAAAAGCTGTACCACCTTTCACCCAAATATATTAGAACATAGCACAAAGGAAAGATAAACTTTTAATATTCAATATCATAGTAACTAATGTTTGTAACTAATGTATGCATCTCTACACGTCCCAAAAATAAAATAGAATAAAATAAATATACATCTGATCTCGGCTTAAAAATATATATAATTGCTGATTTCTTTCTTAACAAATTAATTTGACAAAAACAATATATATTATATAATAGAGGTTATCATTGTGTTGTAAAATTACTTACAAGTACCATCACGTGGCAATTAGCCTCTTTGTTTTTGGCTTTGTACACTTCTGGTTCCATGTGTATAAGGTTGCAGTTTGAGATTGGAAGAAATAAAAATAACATGAAATATCGTGTGTTGTACTAATTTTGTTGACAGGCA